TGCCTAAAAAGTCAGTAGGGAGCAGGCTTGTTCTCCATTTTCCTGTGATTCTCTGTCTTCCTCTGTGTATTAGCTTTGTCTTCACACCCACTTCTCTTGTGGTTGCAGCGTGGCTTCCTGCAACCATCAGAGTAGTGTGCTTCCTGATTAGCTCCAGAGTGAGATGACATGGCATTCTACACCAGCAAGCACAATTCAGCAGCTTAGCTCTGATGACACCAGCCCTGAATCAGGGCAAGAGGCAGAAAATTTTTCTGACTGGCTTAGTACCCTGCTTCTACCCCTCCCTTGCAGGGGATGGGTAAGTCCTACCCAGTTCTCATGGCTGTTTCACAAAGGGGAAGGAAGAAATGCTGTATGTGGAGGGGGAGGTAGCCATGGTGCCCAGAACACCAGGACTCATGAAATGGCCTCTTTGCTGTTTGTCTCAAACCCACTGTTTTTTCCTTCTTTAATAATGCATCCAGGGGGATCTTTCTGAAGCAAAAGCCTGTCTACAACACCCCTTGCTTAAACCCTTTGGTGTATCTCCTCAGACACACACACACACACACAGAGCTCTCCAGATTAGGTTCATACTTTGAGATGTTCAAGTTCTAGTTCTAGTTGACCTCCAGCCTACTGGATTCCCATCCTTTGGAACCCCATGGAATGCTCCATCATTACCCCCTTCCACGCTTTTCCGTGCTGTCCCACCTCTGCTTCTGTCTTCTGCCAGGAATGCCTTTACCCTTCCCCGTGTGGTAAATTCACCCTTCAAAACTCAGCCTGGATATCTGCTTCCTCTGGGATAGCTCTAAGGCAGGTTAATGACTGTGTCCACAGGCTGCTGGGTTACACAATCACCATGTGCCTGCACCACTCATCCTACATCTCTCTCAGCTGGTGATCTTGGAGCAGGGACCTGTTTGATTCTCCTGGGTCCTCAGTCCCCAGGCTTGCCATGCACTAGGAGCTCAGATAGTGCTGGTTGATCACATACTACTTTTGTGGTCCCTGCTGTTGCCTAGCAAAGTAGAGCCCCTGGTAGACACTCAGTTGATACTCATCAGTGCACTAAACTGACCACAAACCTCAGTTCTTCAGGTCCTGGGAAAACCCTGAGCCACCTGCAAATATAGGCTGCTTATGCCCTTGACAGGTTCAAGGAATCAGTCCTTGGCACTGGAGTGGGCTTCATTCACTTTGGACTTGGTGAGGGCTTAGAGGCCTTTAGCTTTGAATCCTGAGGAGCCTCCCTTTATCCAAGAAGCAGGGGGCTGGACCACTGGGACCTTCATCAGAAGAATAGATATATCTGTAGAAGTAGGTTATTCTAGGCCAGTTCTTTCCATTAAAAACAAAAAACAAAAAAACAAGCCAGGTGCGGTGGCTCACACCTGTAATCCCAGCACTTTGGTAGGCTGAGGCGGGCGGATCAGGAGATCGAGACCATCCTGGCTGACATGGTGAAACCCCGTCTCTACTAAAAATACAAAAAAAATTAGCTGGGCCTGGTGGCCGGCGCCTGTAGTCCCAGCTACTCGGGAGGCTGAGGCAGGAGAATGGTGTGAACTCGGGAAGTGGAGCTTGCAGTGAGCCGAGATCGTGCTATTGCACTCCAGCCTGTCGCCCCTCTGCACCCACTCTGTCGCCCAGGCTGGAGTGCTGTGGTGCCGATCTCGGCTCACTGCAGGCTCTGCCTCCCGGGTTCACGCCAGTCTCCTGCCTCAGCCTCCCAAGTAGCTGGGACTACAGGTGCCTGCCACCATGCCAGGCTAATTTTTTGTATTTTTAGTAGAGATGGGGTTTCACCGTGTTAGCCAGGGTGGTCTCAATCTCCTGACCTTGTGATTCACCCGCCTCGACCTCCCAAAGTGCTGGGATTACAGGCGTGAGCCACAGCGCCCGGCCGCCTCTAGCCCTTTTATAATCAGCACTAATTCATTCATGAGGGTGGAGCCCTCATGATCTAAACACCTCCCATTACTGTTGGCCCCACCTCCCAACACTGGGGAATCAGTTTCCAACACGTGCCTTCTGGGAGACACATTCAACTATTATTTTATCGGTTACTATTGAGACTATTGTTTTATTAATTAAATCCCATGTATTTCTGCAAAAAACCCGGACAAGTTTATAATACCAGTCCCCTGTAGTCCTCCAGCCACTGATAAGCTGAAGGTAAAAATGTTAAGACCTAGATACTAAAAAAAGCAAGTAAGACCTGGGAGTCAAACCAAAGCTTAGGAACTTCACCCAGAGCTTCCCAGCAGCCAAGGCAAATAAATAAATAAATAAATAAAAGGGAAACTCAAGGGGTTGTGGAGCTCTTGAACTGCAGAAGAGGAAGCAAGCCAGGTTGTCAGAATGCATGAGCTTTCCTAATGCTGACCTCTGGAGAGGGCATAGGGACCTTGTGTAAGAGTGTTGTGTAAGGGACAGTTTCACTGAAAGATGCAGGAACTGCCTAGGTTTCGTCACTTCTCATACTGACTCTTTAAGAACAGCTGATGGCGGCTGGGCGCGTGGCTCACGCCTGGAATCCCAGCACTTTGGGAGGCCGAGGTGGGCGGATTGCGAGGTCAGGAGATTGAGACCATCCTGGCTAACATGGTGAAACCCCATCTCTACTAAAAATACAAAAAATTAGCCGGGCGTGGTGGCGGATGCCTGTCGTCCCAGCTACTCGGGAGACTGAGGCAGGAGAATGGCATGAACCTGGGAGGCGGAGCTTGCAGTGAGCCAAGATAGCGCCACTATGCTCCAGACTGGGAGACAGAGCAAGACTCCGTCTCAAAAAAAAAAAAAAAAAACAGCTGATGGCATGTCCATAAATTTTAGTTCTCAAAAATAAATACATAAATAAATTGTAGTTCTGGGAAAGCATTTCTTTGTTTTATTTTGTTTTCCCTGGGAATCAGACTGAGAGGAAGGCATATTTTTTGTAGGAAGCCTAAGTAACATGTTCTAAGCATGAAACTTTCTGGTGATTTCATTTGTTAGAGATTTAACAAACACATATTAACTGTGTGGCTTTCATGCTGTTCTCTCATGTAAGGAATCTCATTTTAACTTTCTCAATGAAGTTGGAGGCAAGAGATTATTAGGCCATTTTACAGATGGGGCAGGGAGATTGACTTATCCAGGGTCACATAGTCAATTAAGTGGCACACCAGGACTCGACCCCAAGTTTACAACATTTTCCTTTGTGTTGGCACCTTGTTGGAGAAGGGGGAAGTGTCTGACCTGGTTACATATCCACGGTGTATTAGGACTGGGTCTTTTTTTTTGAGACAGAGTCGTACTCTGTCACCCAGACTGGAATGCAGTGGTGTGATCTTGGCTCGCTGCAACCTCCACCCTCCGCCTCCTGGGTTCAAATGATTTTCCTGCCTCAGCCTCCTGAGTAGCTGGGATTACAGGCACCCGCCACCACGCCTGGCTACTTTTTGTATTTTTAGTAGAGACGGGGTTTCACCATGTTGGCCAGGCTGGTCTCGAACTCGCGACCTCAGGTGTTCTGCTTGCCTCGGCTTCCCAATGTGCTGGGATTACAGGAGTGAGCCACCGCCCCCAGCCTAGGACTGGGTCTTTATAAGTACCACCTCATCTGTTCCTTACAGTAAATCCGAGAGCCACGTAATATTAGTCCATTTTACAGAGAGGATTGGAAGTTGTCCAAGGCCATACAGGTGGTAGGTGTTAGGGAAGCTAAGCAGGGGTTCCCAACCAGGGCTTGGTGATGGAACTTCAGGATATGCAAGGATTCAGTAGAATGGCACAGGAACGTTTCTGGGTGAGAGGGGAGAGGATGGCTTTCATGGCGCCTCAAAACCAAACAAAAATAAATGAGAAAAACAGACCCATGAACTCAAAGAAAGAATCATAGTGACAGCTCACACAACTGAGTCCCAACCTGGAACCAGGCACCTGGCAAGGCCTGGATGAGCTTATCATTCCCATGAGGGTTAGGGTGTATCATCCCCATCTCACAGGCCACCCAGCTAGTAGGTGGCCTTGCATGGTGACTAAGTTTTGCCTCTTCTCCATCATCACCTCTTGTGACTTGGTTTTTTTCTAGCAGTTAGTAGAATTTTTCTTCCTCTTTTGTGGAGCTGAGAATTACTACGAGGCAGAATGATATGCTGTGCTTCAGAAGGTCATTGCCTTCCTGTTTCCAAGTCACCTCTGTCTGTTCCCTTGCCTCTGGGAACAAGCTGGTTGGATGGTGGTTGGGTAAGAGTGAACAAATGAATGGACGAATGAATGAGTGAACAAGCGGATGGAGGAAGTACCACTTCCTTGGCATTCAGGATCAGCATGCATGCATGGATCCATTTCTGATGACTTTATTCAAGGCTGACAGGTCACTGTAGTGTTAGAGAGAAGTCTTGGGGAAGCTGAGTTCAGGCCCGTTCATGACCAGGCAGGACCAGAGTGACCCAGAAAGCCTCCGTCCTCCTCGGCAGGCAGTGGCGTGGAAGTGGGCCGTGCCGCCTTCCACAGCTCTCTGCCATGGCATGCAGCCCTCCACAGCATGTGGCTAGCCTGGCAGGGCCTGGAATGGTTGCTACCCCTGGAACCTAGTATCTCTAGTATCCTTGGCCCATGTTGAAGTCCCCTGTTTCATCTACTGTGGTTTCTTGCATCCCAGCCCGGCTTATACCCCTAGTGTAGCCCGGTGGTGGGGTCCCAGTTCAGAGCAGCGGCATCAGCAGCCCCATTTTCCAGCTGAGGACACAGTCTCAGAGGATTGAAGTGACCTGTCCACGGCCACACTAGTGAGTGGTGGACCTGGGCCATGGGCCCAGCCGTGGCTGGCTCAAAAGCCACACATCACCACATCCTCATAGGACCCACATGACCTCAGGCTCATATTTACATTGCCAGGAGGCCCCTGGAAGGTAAGCCACAAACTGGAGGCCTCATCAGATTCCTGAGTCTGCTCCACCCTCCTCTGGCTGGAGAGCGGTCTCTGGTCCAGCTGGACCATGGCTGAGGGTTTCTTTCCTGTTTAGAGAGAGCATGGGTCTTCTGGACTGCCCCACTCTCCGGGGCCTCTGCTGAGCTGGGTTGAAGGAACTTCACAACAAGCAGGGGCCAGGAGCTGGAAGCTCAGAGGTGATTCTGCCTGTCCTGAAGTTTGTGACGCCATCCCCCTTCCTCAACCACCTGTAGCCCTACTTTAAGAAAAAAGAGGTCAGGCAGGGTGGCTCACACTTGTAATCCCAGCACTTTGGGAGGCCAGGGTGGGCGGATCACCTGAGGTCAGAGGTTCGAGACCAGCCTGGCCAACATGGTGAAACCTCATCTCAACTAAAAATACAAATATTAGCTAGGTGTGGTGGCAGATGCCTTTAATCCCAGCTACTCAGGAGGCTGAGGCAGGAGAATCACTGGAACCTAAGAGGCAGAGCCAAGATTGCGCCATTGCATGCTAGCCTGGGCGACAAGAGCGAGACTCTGTCTAAAAAAAAAAAAAAAAAAAAAAAAGAGAGAGAGAGAGAAAGAAAGCGAAAAGAAAAAGCAAAAGCATCTATGCAAAGAGCCCAGAGTGGGCCAGAAAGAGTGAGAATGGGAGTGAACCAGGGCTGGAAGAGCCTTCCTACTGTAATCGTCCTTTCTGTCCCTCCACTAAGCTGGGAGCCCCTTGAGGGCCTGGACCTGGCTGTTCTCCCAGGGCCTGCAGCCTGTCAGTGTATGATGAATGAATGAATGACCTGAGGGTTTGGAGCTCTGCTTCCAGTCCAGGAACAATCTCTATGGCCTTGGTCAGTTACATCCCCTTTCTTGGCCTCAGTTTCTCCATCTGAGCTGATCTTCGAGGCCCCGGTGTTCTGCGCCAGCAAGGTCCAGGGCTCTGGAAGATGGAGGGAGCCTGAGACAGGCGCTGGGATTCTGAGAGGACGTGGCCAGCTTGGCCGGGGGGAAGGCGTCCTGAGGTTCTTGGCTGTGGAGCACAGGAAACAGGGCAGCTGGCAGGTGGGCACCAGGCGCACAGGTGGGAGCGAGGAGGGAGGGTGTGGGCTTGGCTGAAGAGGCCGTTTGCTGAAGCTTCGGGTCTTCATAGCAACTTAGTTTTCCTTCTTCAGAAAATGAAGCACTCAAGCAACTCCTCTGGGTGTCAGAGCCTCCTGTGAGGGTTGAGGCCCACTGGGGCAGGGGGATGGGTTCCCAAGGCAGGAGCAGGAGGGGCTGAGGAACAGGAGCACCCAGGCATTGGGCATATTGGACCCTGCCTGGCTGTGCCTTGTGGGGTTCCATCTCAACGGCTAGGCAGTCCCACTCATTGTCACTTTGCCCTGTGTTTTCTGCAGATCATGATTGAGTTCTGTCCAGGGGGAGCCGTGGACGCCATCATGCTGGGTGAGTCTTACTTGATTCATTGCATTGCCGGGACCAGACCACACGTTTGGAGTCCTGAGCCTGACTGGTGGACGGCTCTGTCTAGGGAACTGGGACCTCCATTCTCCCACTCCATCAGTTCCCATGGCCTCTTTGAGCACCTCTCTGCTTTGTCTGCTTTTAGGAGCAGGGTTTGGGTTCTTTTTTTTCTTTCTTTTTTTGAGACAGAGTCTTGCTCTGCTGCCCAAGCTGCAGTGCAGTGGTGCGATCTCAGCTCACTCACTGCAACCCCTGCCTCCTGGGTTGAAACGACTCTCCTGCCTCAGCCTCCCAAGTAGCCTGCGATTACAGGTGTGTGCCACCACACATGGCTTGTTTTTGTATTTTTAGTAGAGACGGGGGTTTGGGTTCTTGAAGAGAATGCAGGACATTCGCTGGAAGACCGTCACTCCCTATTCCAGAAGCCGTGTGTCCTTGAACTGGCCACTCTCCCTCTTGAGGCCTCTTGACCTAAGATGGGTGTGATGCCTTCTTCGCTGGACCCCACAGCACTCTCAAGAGGTGAAACTGAGATACCCATGGAAGGTTGTTGAAAAGTGGGGATACCCACACATTCAGTAAATGCTCTGTGGGGACAGTGTCAGGTCTCAATGTCCTGGGCAAGCTTGAGCAATAACAATGACGATGACCACAGTGAAATGTTAGTAGTGGCCATTCATATAGTGAATAGTCACTATATGCAGAGAGTGTGGTAGCCACGTTTCCATATGTGGTCCTCCTCTAATCCTCAGGTATAAAATCAGGAAGAGTATTTTATTTATTTATTTATTTATTTTGAGATGGAGTCTCGTTCTCTTGCCCAGGCTGGAGTGCGGTGGCGCAATCTCAGCTCACTATAATCTCCACCTCCCAGGTTCAGGTGATTCTCCTGCCCCAGCCTCTCAAGTAGCTGTGACTATAAGTGGCTACCACCACGCCCAGCTAATTTTTGTATGTTAGTAGTGATGGGGTTTCACCATGTTGGCCAGACTGGTCTCGAACTCCTGACCTCAGGTGATCCACCCACCTCGGCCTCCCAAAGTGCTGGAATGACAGGTAAGTATCACATTTATTTTTGAATGGGCTGACACTTGAAAGGTTAAGGGACTCACCCAGATCACACAGCAGAGCTGTGAACCCAGGTCTGGCTGACCCACTCCTAACCATGGCCCGTCCCACAGCATCCCCGGCTCATGCCACCCTGCATGGAGTGCAGAGAGGCTGAGGAGAGGCCTGGGAGGTTGAGTGACATGTCAAGGATTCTGGGATGGCCCAGAAGAGGAGAGGTGCTCAGTGTAATGTCATACCATTCAAGGTATTTTCCCTGAGTTTACCTCAGGAGGGAGCCAATCGTAATCCTGACACAGTCTTCAGTGCCATAAACCTGAATGTTGAAATCCCAAAAGAGCAAAATGCCCAAAGTCTCAAATCCTGTCAAGTACAATCCTGAAAGATCAAAATCCCAAAAATATAATTCTAAAAAACTTTTTTTTAAATTCTTGGTATTTATTTATATTTTAAATGGGAATTTGAGAAACATAAAAACATGAAGGTGCTTCACAGGCCACTTTACACTGTCAAATAGTCAGTAATAACGTACATATTTTGCATGCGTAAACAGCTATACCAAGGATGGTTGCACAGGTGTAACAATTATGAACAGACTGGCCGGGCGCGGTGGCTCACGCCTGTGGTCCCAGCACTTTGGGAGGCCGAGGTGGGCAGATCACCTGAGGCCACGAGTTTGAGACCAGCCTGGCCAACGTGGCAAAACCCCATCTCTACTAAATATATGAAAATTAGATGGGCGTGGTGGCAGGCACCTGTAATCTCAGCTACTTGGGAGGCTGAGGCAAGAGAATCACTTGAACCCAGGAGGTAAAGGTTGCAGTGAGCCGAGATGATGCCACAACACTCTAGCCTGGGTGACAGAGTGAGACTCCATCTCAAAAAAAAGAAAAAAAATGATTAGCAGATGACCCACACCCATAAAGAAATAGGTCAAAAAGGGAAATGTATAAATGCATATCACCAGGGTTGGTGATTGTGGACACACAGCTTTATAGCTGTTGTCTGAAATACTGTAATGAACAACCGAAGCCTGTTGGTGAGATCGACCAAAACCCTCAGCGGCTCACTAGGGCATATGCAGATGCCGAAAGAGCCGGAATCTGGAGAAAGTTTATCTTTCACAAATGCAGATGTACCAAAAGGACATCCCTATATTCACTGAGGAACTTTCAACATTTTTACATACATGCACAATGCTTACACACCGGCAATGCCGAGATAATACACTTTCAGAGAGTCAAATTTGCAACAAACGCATAAAAGGAATTAGAACTCTCTCAAAGTCTCTACACCATTTATACCTGCAGCATCGAAAATGATGTGAAGATGAAATACATAGCATAGTGAATTGTAAAAAGTAATGCTGACTATTTAAAACAGTGGGGAAATATAGACGTTTATTTATTTATATATGCTAAAGACCATTTAGTTTTTTCAAATTTAACATAGGACCAAGTGTATTGCAGGGAGAGATTATGGGCAGTTGCACGGAGACCGTTCGTAAGAGTTGGCCTAACAGGATACAACTATCTTGTGATTGAGATTTTTAGGATTTTAGACTTTAGGGATTTTGATCTTTGGGGATTTCAGCATTTGGGATTATGGTATTTGAGATTATGTCTTTTAGGATTATGATCCAAACCCATGTCAGGAATGTGTGAAATTTACAGTAGTCCATCCCCATCCCGGGCTGTAGAAATGTTGGACCCACAGGGGCTCACGCGGTGCCTCACGCCTGTAATCCCAGCACTTTGGAAGGCCGAGGTGGGTGGATCATGAGGTCAGGAGATCAAGACCATCCTGGCTAACACAGTGAAACCTTGTCTCTACTAAAAATACAAAAAAACAGCCGGGAGTGGTGGTGGGCGCCTGTAGTCCCAGCTACTCGGGAGGCTGAGGAAGGAGAATGGCATGGACCCGGGAGGCGGTGCTTGCAGTGAGCAGAGATTGCGCCACTGCACTACAGCCTGGGGGACAGAGCGAGACTCCGTCTCAAAAAAAAAAAAAAAAAAGGAAATGTAGGACCCACAAGCCTTCGTTACAGCGCCACTTACTGCCCCATCGAGTTCCCAGGTAGACGACAGTATGGGGGAGGATACATGGCACATGCTATATGGCTCTTCGGTGTGCCTTCTCTCAGCAGGCAGGCACTGCCTTTGAAGATTATCATTTGGGAGATAGAATCTAACAGTATAAAAGTGATAATCTGGTATGAATTGAGACCTTAGGTTATAAGGAGCCAAAATACTCAAAACTTTTTTAGGTGGGGGAAAGGTGGGGGATGTGGGAGGTGGAATTTATTTGCACAAATAACTGAAGACTTCAAGGATGGCTAGCTTCAGGCACAGCTTGTTGCAGGAGTTTTAAAGAGTTATGATAAGGGGTGGAGTGTGGTGGCTCACACCTGTAATCCTAGCACTTTGGCAGGCCGAGGCAGGTGGATCACTTTGAGCTCAGGAGTTTGAGACCAGCCTGGGCAACAGGGCAAAACCCCGTCTCTACAAAAAATACAAAAATGAGCTGGGCATTAGTGGTTTGCGCCTGTAAGCCCAGCTACTTGGGAGGCTGAGGCTGGAGGATTGCTTGAGCCCAGGAAGCAGAGGTTGCAGTGAACTAAGATCATGCCAGTGCACTCCAGCCCAGGTGACAGAGTGAGACCCTGCCTCAAAAAAAAAAAAAAAATAATAATAATAAATAGTTATGATATGGACTTGATTTCTTTATCCAACTCTTGGCCCCCTATCCTCTGTGTTAGCCCCATTCTCATGCTGGTTTTCTGCCCTTGATGACAAGATGGCGTGGGAGCTCCAGCCATCACATCTGAATTCCAAGCAGCAGGATGGAAATAACCACCTATCCCTACCCCACACTGAAGACTCTTTTAAAGAGACTTCAGAAAAGCTCCACGTGACACCTTGATTTATGTCTCATTGGCTGTAGCATATCACACACAGCTGGAATGGAGGCTGGGGAATGTGGTTTTTTTAGCTGGGTAGCCATATGTTCTGATACCAAAAAAAGAAGGGGGAAATGGAAGCCAGCTAGCACCCTCTCTGTCCCCTGGTATGCAGCTTAACTGAATGAGCTTAGCTGGAGGGGAGTATCAGAGATGGAAAAGGCATTGAAGTGTACTGTGTCCTCGACCTCATTCACAGCTGGGGCGTGACCGTAGACTACAACTCAGCCAGCAGATAAACCCTGCTCTGGCTCCCGTTCCAGTTTTCCTCGTGGCCCTGACTGCTCCAGCCCTAGGCAGCTTTCCCCCTGTTGGTGGCAGCAGTTAAAGGAACATTTTGGAAATCGTGATGTATGAAGAGAAGCTGAAATGGGAATAGCCGACAGGTTCAGAGCCAGGTCCTCGTTGCAGCTGTGTGTTTAGGGTTGACTTTCCTGCAGATGCCTGCCCTGCTTAGCGGGGCTTTCTGCTCCTCCATCCATCTCCCCTTTGCCCTGCATGGCGGGGAAGCATTACTGGCCTGAGCTTGGGGCCCAGGGGTCCATTCCCTGATGTCCATTCCAGGTTCCTCTTTTTGGAGGCTTTGGGGCACAGGACTGGCCCTTTTGTGAGATGGAGAGAATGCCCACGTGATATGTCACCGTGGGGCCATTCTGTGTAACACCCAGGGCCTGTTCTGATTGGAATGGATATGGCTGGCCATGCCTTGCTGGCTACTAAACATCTTGGGTCTCCACCTGCTTATCATGGAAAGGAGGAGAGGCTAGGATTAGATGTGGTGTCAAAGGGGACTTTGCAGTGTTGTAGTTTCTTTAATAAGGAGAAGGTATTCGGCCGGGCGCGGTGGCTCAAGCCTGTAATCCCAGCACTTTGGGAGGCCGAGACGGGCGGATCACGAGGTCAGGAGATCGAGACCATCC